TACCGAGGGAGCACTCGATCCCCTTGTCCTGATCGTTGATAAAGATATTAAACAGAACTGGCCCCAGTACCGAGCCCTGGGGAACACCACTCGTGACCGGCCGCCAACTGGATTTAACTCCATTCACAACCACTCTTTGGGCCCAGCCATCCAGCCTTTTTTTCACCCAGCAAAGAGTACACCCATCCAAGCCATGACCAGCCAGTTTCTCCAGGAGAATGCTGTGGGAAATCATGTCAAAGGCTTTACTAAAGTCCAGGTAGACAACATCCACAGCCTTTCCCTCATCCATGAAGCGGGTCACCTTGTCATAGAAGGAGATCAGGTTAGTCAAGCAGGACCTGCCTTTCATAAACCCACGCTGACTGGGCCTGATCACCTGGTTGTCCTGTACGTGCCGTGTGATGGCACTCAGGATGATCTGCTCCATAACCTTCCCCATCACTGAGGTCAGACTGACAGGCCTGTAGTTCCCTAGATCCTCCTTCTGGCCCTTCCTGTAGATGGGCGTCACATTTGATAACTTCCAGTCAACTGGACCCTCCCCAGTTAGCCAGGACTGCCGCTAAATGATGGAAAGTGGCTTGGTGAGCACGTCCACCGCTCCCTCAGTACCCTTGGGTGGATCCCATCTGGCCCCATAGACTTGTGTGTGTCTAAGCGGTGTAGCAGGTCACTACCTGTTTCCCCTTGGATTATGGGGGTTTCATTCTGCTCCCCATCCCTGTCCTCCAGCTCAGGGGGCTGGGTACCCAGAGAACAACTGGTCTTACTATTAAAGAGTGAGGCAAAGGCAGCATTAAGTACCTCAGTCTTTTCCTCATCCTTTGTCACTAGGTTTCCCTCTGCATCCAATAAAGGATGGAGATTCTCCTTAGCTCTTCTTTTGTAACTAATGTATTTATAGAAACATTTTTTTGTTGTCTCTTATGGCAGTTGCCCGATTAAGCTCTAGCTGGGCTTTGGCCCTTCTAATTTTCTCCCTGTATAACCTCACGACATCCTTGTAGTCCTCCTGAGTTGCCTGCCCCTTCTTCCAAAGGTCATAAACTCTCTTTTTTTCTCAGTTCCAGCCAAAGCTCTCTGTTCAGCCAGGCCGGTGGTCTTCCCTGCCGGCTCATCTCTTGGCACGTGGGGATGGTCTGCTCCTGCGCCTTTAAGATTTCCTTCTTGAAGAATGTCCAGCCTTCCTGGACTCCTTTGCCCTTCAGGACTGCCTCCCAAGGGGCTCTGTCAACCAGTCTCCTAAACAGGCCAAAGTCTGCCCTCCAGCAGTCCAAGGTGGCAGTTCTGCTGACTTCTCTGAGAATCAAAAACTTTATCATTTCATGATCGCTGTGCCCAAGATGGCCTCCAATCATCACATTACCCACAAGTCCTTCTCCGTTCACAAACACCAGGTCCAGTGGGCTGCCTTCCCTAGTTGGCCCACTCGCCACCTGTGTCAGAAAGTTATGTTCCACACACTCCAGGAACGTCCTAGACGGTTTCCTCTCTGCTGTATTGTATTTCTAGAAGACATCTGGTAAGTTGAAGTCCCCCACGAGAACAAGGGCTAGCAATTGCGAGACTTCTCCCAGCTGCTTGCAGAATATTTCGTCTGTTTCTTCATTCTGGTTGGGTGGTCTATAACAGACTCCCACCATGGTATCTGCCTTGTTGGCCTTCCCCCTGATTCTTACCCATAAACACTCAACCCTATCGTCACCATCACTAAGCTCTAGACCATGAAAACACTCCCTAACATACAGGGCTACCCCATCACCTCTCCTTCCTTGCCTGTCCCTTCTGAAGAGTTTATAGCCATCCATTCTAGCACTCCAGTTGTGCAAGTCATCCCACCATGTTTCTGTGGTAGCAACTATGTCATAGTTTTCCTGCTGCACAATGGTTTCCAGCTCTTGTTTGTTGCCCATGCTGTGTGCATAAGAGTAGATGCACTTCAGTTAGGCTATTGATCCCACCACCTTTTTGGGGGGAGAAGCCCTAATCCCTACGTGACCATTGTCAGGTGCTTCTGTGGTTTCTAACACATCCATAACCCTTGTGTCTTTGCTGCCGCGTGGATCTCCATCCCCTACCTCTACTGAGATGGCAGACTGAAGGATCTCACTAGCACACGGTCCCTCAAACATTGGCGTGCTGCCCTCAGGCTTATCTCTAGCGAGCCTGGTTTTATCCCTTCCCCCTTCAAATCTAGTTTAAAGCTCTTTCAATGAGCCCTGCTAACTCCTGTGCAAAGATCCTTTTCCCCCTTTGGGACAGGTGTACCCCATCTGTTGTCAGCAATGTTCTTGTCCATGATGCTGGTGAAGTGCTGATGTAGCAAATGTATTTATCGTTAAAGGTTTTAGCTCCTTTTCTCCCACGCTCTTCTAGTAGAAGTATATGGCTTTTGTTCTAAGTCTTTCAAGCCTCATAATATACACAGTGTGTGAGACACACACACACCGTATGGGGTGATAATAGAGGGGAGAATGGGCTTTGTTAGTCACATGGGTGTGAGTATTTGGAGAAATATTTTAGTGCTCTATTTCTGACATAACATGTGGGAAACACTGCATTGGTCTGGTTAGTGGCATAACAGGAGCTTCCTGTATGTGATGTGTCTGTACAGCACCCACAGGGCTTGTTAGTGTTCAACCCCTTATGCTGTGGATGCAGAATTTCAGATTTCTGAGGGCAGAAATGGGCTGGAGACCTGTGTAGAAAAGATCTACTAAATATAGCGTATGAATGTTAACGTCTGTAGATATGTTGTAGCATCAGCTGTTCTCATCTGTTGCATCAGAGCTCTTGCCAAGGTTGGGTCTTTTGTAAGTGATTAAACTGTGCAAGCTTGTTGCTAAACTGACAAACTTGGATTGAACAGAGCAAATAAGTTCAAGTTAATCTTCTGGATACTCATTAAGGGGATCCTAGGCTTTCCATAAGTAGGCTGTAAGCAGATATGTACAAGTTTATCAGCTCAAATGCATCTGCAATTACTTTTTACACCAGAATCACTCTAGATACTGCTTTAAGACAGACTACAAGAGTGGTTTTGTGAGAGAAAGAAATGTCAAGAGGGGCAAAGAGAAACAAGAGCTGTGGAGGACATTGCCTGAGTTAAATTATGCTCATTAATTCAATTTGAGGCAGGAATGTGTGTAAATAAACCCTGGCAGCTGCAGCAGCTCTCATTTCTGCAGGGCTTTGGCAGGAATGCAGGGGCCAGTGGACATGAAATCCTGGCGCTCTTTTGAGAAATTGCAGGCAGACAGCTCTGCAGCCAGGAGAAAGAACAATCCAAGATTTACTGAAAAGACGTAATCACTTTAAGCAGACCTGAGTGTGGAGTTTCAGACATGCAGATTTGGAGGTAAAATTAGTGCAGACAAAAACTAAGTCATTAAAAAACCATGGGGCTTACCTAATTCTCTTGGGTAAATGGCATTATTCATGTTCCAAATGTCCAGCCTCAAAATGGAGCATGAGAATTGTAGCTGTATTATTCAGTGTCTTCAGAGTAACTTGAGTCTGGGTTTTCACAAGCAATTGTCTATAGGTAGCGTAACCATTTGTGCTGTGTACTGAAAGTCTAGTTATACTGGCCACATGAAGTAAAGTGGTTTGTGTCCTGAGGAGTTTAGTCTTTGGTCCTCTTCCTGATACTGGATCCCCACGAGTGCCTGTAAGAGCATTCCCATCACTTCACGTGGTCCCAGAATTTGCCTTCCCTGCCCCCCACCTTCCCAGATATTCAGAGGACAGATATCTTAATGGGTGCTGCAGAGCTGAGGGTGGGAGAGGGGCAGTTCTGCAACAGTTAACAAGTGATGGATGGATTCTCAGATCAGTGGATTTTTCAGTTGGGGGGGGGGTTAGCAGTAGCAGTTGCTATTTGTTTGAAACCGATTTGAATATGAGCTTGGTATATCCATGTTATATAAAAAATAAAGAAAAACAAAGTGAACAGTCCCTGACCAAAGAAGAATCCTTGGTTTTGCTGGCTTTAACCTAGAATTTTAAACAACAACATCACCTAGAGCTAAACCGGTTTGAATTTTAAAGGCAGACAGATGAACACTTTAATAACAGTGTTTGATGTAACTATTAATTGATTATATTTTACAAAATACTTGAAATCTAGTAGTTACTTCTGCGACATGAAAAAGCAAGGGTTTTTTTCCTCAAATGAAAACCAACTTCAGCATAGGTCTTGTTTTTATCTCAATTCCATTGTCTTCAAATACTTGCATATCTGAAAATGTCTTAAAAGTGTGCTGGCAAGGGAGCCTGTATGAAAATGAGGTCTAGTGAGGTCAAAACCATAGAGCAAAAGCTGCAAATGGAAGAACTTGACATTAGCAGTGATAATAATGGATGTTCATTGGGTTTCAAAGTAGCCTCTTAGCTTTGCACATTAGAAAAGCCTACAAAGGTGCATATGTATTTACTTGTAACTTTTCAAATGTAACAGAGTTTGTCAATTGCACTTAAAATTTCAAAGTAGGTTTCCTAAACAGCATTTTGAAATATGTATGCGCTCCGACTTTACCACTGTCTTTTTCTGTTAGATGTAGTACAGGCACCTATGCATGGCTGATGATAAACCAGGAGATACTCGGGGAGTTTCAGAAACAAGCAGATTAGTTGTTCAAATTCTGAACTGGCTGCTATTTTGTTAAATAGCTGCGTCTCAGTAGCAGAAGCAGAGCTGCATTAAAGACATTGGCCGACATATTGTAAGTTTTTCTTACTGTTCTGCGAGAGAATACGTGAACAGACCAGAGATTTTGTCTGTCAACACTCCAAATTCAGTGGCACGTTTGGAAATGTAGGTCATAAAAACAGGGAACTGGGAAAAGGCAGCCCAGCAGTCAAGCAAGGATAGACCCAGTCACGCATAACACTGGCATTATTTTTGTTGAAAGTGGCATAAGAACAACAGCATGCAGAAGTTTACTGGTCCTTCAGACAATTTAATTACAAGCTTGTCATAAATTTGTTTCTTTTAGCATGGAACGTGTGTCTGCCTGAGCAGTGGTGGTCAAAACTCAGGGCAAACTGCTGAGACTTTCCTAGTATGTTATCTTATGCCCCCCCTTTTAAGTTATTGTTTACATCCAGTGTTGGTTTTGCCCCTTTCAGCCTAGCTCACCCTCGACACTACTAGCTTCAAACATCACCTAATGTGAGATGTAGCAATAGAAGAGCAACAAGATCTCCTCACACCTGCTGTCTTTCAATAGCTGCCTCTGGGTCAGTAGCCTCTGGCTGGCTTTGCTGTTCTTGGGAAACTTGAATTTTAATTATTTGCTCCTGTCAAGAGCAGCATAAGGAACACTCTTCAGTCTTGGTACAGTGAGTCTGAACACATGTGTGCAAGTCCCCTGGAAGTCTCTGCTTGCTTTTAGCTTTGGCTGGAATAAAATCAGTTGTGATTTGTATTCTGCCTCTTGCGGACTTCCCTTGTTGATACACAGAGGGGCATCCAGTGTTTACAATCTGCACGCAGCACACCCTCACTGGCGTGGTTGCTTCCCTCCAGCTTCTCTACCCATTGCTGCCCAGATGGGTACAGCCAGCACTGGTGTATATCCCCGCAGAGGTGCACTTGGGTGCAGCCGCATTCGTTCCAACTCGCAATGGTTGCTGCCTCCACCATGTGCTTTTGGTGTGTGCCCGGAGGCATGCACCGCTTCAGAACTTAATTTCTACTAATGTAGCTGCATCTTTTTGCAGATGAGATTTTCTGATTATTTCTCATATGTCTTGGATTCCCACCGTTTCCTCTCAGGTTGCTCAGAGACAGCTGAGGAGCAGCTTTTGCAGCTTCAGGTTTGACTCCTTTTCTCTTCAGCTGGCTCCTTGCAGGGCCCCCGGCACCTCTGCAATTAACCACCTCGAGGAAGAGCCCGTCCAGTGACGGCTGCTCCCTTGCCCCAGACTGTGCATTGCATATTCCAGTAGGGCTTCAAAAGAGCAGAAAGGACTTGAGGGAGAAATTTTGTGAGCGGTCCAGCAGTCACAGCAGGGGATTGAAGGGCATTTTCCGAAGTGCCTTCAATTAATGAGCGTCGCTGTGGCTGAAGACCTACTGGAGCCCAGGTACAGCTTTGCCAGCGCTGCAGGGAAGGCCCTGAAGAGTCATTTCAGCGAGTTCTTTGCTTTATGTTTGATTCCATCCATTTTCCTTTTGCTTCCGAAGGGACTCAGCTAGGACAGGAGTCGCAGTCTGAAAGGGAATTTATCACAGCAGAATACATTACTGAGTTAGAGCCCTTTCTCCCTGCTCAGCTACTGCTGGCTATTTGTGTAATCTGTTAAACAGTTTGGAAAGTTTTAAATGTCTGTGCCAGAACTCAACTATGAAGCATAAAAAGCAGCTAGTGCTGTCTTAAGCTGAGAAATCAATTTGATAGCCTACGATGTGGCTGCATTGCTGTGCTGTGGTCATCACATTGACTTGCAGAGCCCTTCTTTGCCACACCTGCACTCTGCAGCTAGGATTTAGCATTCCAAAGCCCAGTCAACCTCCTACATTCTGCCTGTTTGGGGGATTTTTATTTATTAAATGAGACATCCAAAGAGATTTCCTCTGCATTTTTTTTTTTTTGCAAATGTGGAACTTCTTCCTTCCAATTTATACTGGCCAGCATCTCAAATTAAGTGTGGGGTTTTTTTTTTTTTTTTATTAAGCCTTGAGCCAGTGATGGGTTTGAAATCTGTCTTAAGGTCATAAAGCAAGAAGCTGAATTTTATAGCACTGGAGAAGGAAGAGATTCCCAGAATCTTATCTTACGCATGGGCCGATATATGCTTTCTACCGCATAGTGAGATATACTGTTTAAAACACTTGATAGGGATGTTTTTAATCAAATTAATTCCATTAAGAATAGTTTTCATATCTACGAGGGAAGGTGGATGCTTTTATTGTTGGAGCCTGAGGCTGGAAGGCTGAGAGGATGGGAATGTTAGTATGTTAAAGTAATTATTGCTGTGATTTTATAGACTAGTAGGTTGTGACCTTTCTCTGCTTCTCACTGGAAAGCTGGGCATTTCCCCCTCTGTGGTAATCTAAATCTCCTATTGTTGAATTCTTACGGTGAAAAGATCCCAAATGGCCGTCAGCTTTCCCGTAGAATTTTGCTATGGGCTTGAGCCACGTCCCTGTAAGGCTCGGGTGGGTTTTAATGTGACTTTAATTCTGCCATCATATGTCTGCTTTACAATATGACTGCTACTATAATTGCATATTTGCCTTCAAACAATAGCTTGCAGGGCTGTATAATTTCTTTCATGACATGGGTACGTGTGTCATGTTTGGTGGTGCTACTTACTGTGCTGTGTGCAAGATGATATATCCCTTGATATCTTTTATGCGGGGGAAAAATACAGTAACTATTCATACACACCAAATATGCCAAACTGAATACTAGAACATAGGATAATTGTGGAAATGTGGTAATTTTAAGACCATCTAAATCAGCTTTCTAGCCCACTGCATCATCCCCTGAAGTCAAAGAAATGATGCAGTACAGAGCTGCCATCTAAATTATTAAAACGCGTTCCTTGGAGAAGAGATATGTTCATATATGAAGTGTAACCCAAAGATTTATTGGATTTTCTGATAGTGGGAACTGAGTAAATAGACAAGAATAGCAGGGCGGGGGGGGATTACAAGGGGCTGTATACCAATGATCGGGTGGTTAAAGAGAAACCCTTGTGATGAATAACATTTCTATTTAAGAAGTATGTATGAAACCTTTTAATGACAGTATTGAAATACTGTACTTCAGGTGTATAATACTCTTCCTGTAGGGGAACTTAACCAGTGCTAGTTCAAGGTGATTTTTTTTTTTCTTTCCTGGCTGTGCCATTTCCCAGCCTTGAACTACTTGAACTGCTGCTTCAATTCCCAGTTATTTTCCCATCCATCTGTTGTCTACCCATTTGTCAGCGTTGATTTCCATGTATTCCCTTCCACTTTATGCAAGATCTTTAAGTGAAGGAGAAATCAAGATCTGATGTAGTCACTCTATCTTCTTTTCTGTCATCAGCAGCATTCAGGATTGTTTTCTTCTGTTTTTTCCAGCAGTCCTGCCCCCCCCCCCAAAAACACATCACACTTGCTGTGTCTCAAACTCTTTTGCATCCATTCTGTTTCTTTTATTCAGTAAGCTATTGGTTTCCTCTGATGTCTAGCAAATCACATTGTTTTTCCTACCTACCTCACTAAATACTCCCCCACATAGTTGTGGGGGGGGTTCCTGTTTTTTCTTTAATAACTGTAGCGTCGATAACCCCTTGTGCAGTTTCCACTTCTCTTCAACCAGGACTGTCTTCAGTCCAGTTCTGCTATCTCCTTATCACAGACTGGCACCTTCTTGAGTAATTCTCAAGCCACTGGCTTTTTTTGTCTCTGTTGTTTGACAATGCTGGTATCATCTTCCTTGTAGAAGCCACTTCTACCTAAGTGGGTAGAAACTACCATGTTAGTGTTGTGCTATCTCAGTTCATATGGGAAAGAAAACTGATCATACACAGCAAGTTGTAGTTATCTTTTAATTATACAAGACATTGCTTGAGAGAAAGCAAAGTAGGTCCTGACCACAGTGTCCCAGCAGAATGGTGACAGAGTAACGGACAGAGCAGAAGTCTGCAAACAACTATTGAGTCTTTTTAAACAGTAGTGGTGTTTTGTTCTGTAGAAAGCACGTGGCAGATACTACTGTGATACAGGGAACTAGTTGTATTAGTAGACCATGGTAACAGGTACCCTGCAGCATCATGCTAACATTTTCCAGTTACACGCTCTGATTCAGGAGAAGCAGTGCAATGGATTTTAAAATATTATTTCTCTGTACTTAACTTCAAAAAAAAATACATGCTAGGCAGTTCTTCATGCAAATGCATGGTTGACAAGTACTTAGAAGTAGCGTTCAAAATAGATGTGCAACTGTGACATCTTACTAATAGGCTTCACCCGTATTTTGGTATAAAGATGTGTGTGTGAAACTTTGTCAAGGGGAGAAGTACATCAGAAGGGTTAAAAATCCATAGGAGAGATTAAGGATCAAATGGCTCCACAGAGGAAGAGGGAACTCAAGATTGAATAATGCTGTGAGCTTTCTTGGAACAGAGCACTGTCAGCTGCTGTTATAATCCCATCACTCTCAACAGGCACACAGCGAGTCTGGGACAATTGTGTCTCCGAGTTCAGTACTAAATGAGCTACTTCTGAAGCTGGCATGCAGGGTTATGTCATCCTCTTGATGAAGTGGCCTGTAGCATGCATCCTTACACATCTGTAACCACTTAAGAATGCCCCTAAAGTTTTCCGAACTGTTACAAACCACAGGATGAACAAGGGTAGAGGGAAGGATAGGGGAGAGGGAACACTGTGGATTTTATAATGAATAAGCTTCCAGTCCAGAAGACAGTAAATAACTTTGGAGGAGAGACTTCTGCTCTGACTAAGCGCTTTGCTTTTTTTGCAGGGGGCGGGTGGGGAGTTAATCTCTTCAATATCATGTCACTGGATCTCCTTTTGCATGGCTTGTACCGAGCAGACATCTGGATTTATACCTCTTAGAGAGAGCATGCAAAGTCAGCACAATAGCAGTAGATGCAGAATATAATGTTCATACAGTTGTTGGTCTTCTCACTGTTGCACTGGCTAAGATGAGTGATGTACGTAGTGACAGAAGGAGGTGAGTCTCAACACCTGAAGGATTTACGCTTTCTTTTTGAAAAATCACTTCTCCCCACTTGATCTTTCCCTTCTCCACCCCTCATCCTCCCTTTGTCCATCTCAATGACTATCTGCATTTTTTGGTGCCTGCATTCCTTTGCTCAGAAGAGATCGGGAAACAGGTTGCCATTTCCATCACCCTTGAATTACGGTAGCTGGTCTAAGAAGTATAAGACAGAGGCCAGCCCATTATTCAAGCTTGCAGGCCCCGCTTGAGCTTCCGTGGGGGCTGTGGTCCACCTTTTAGTGCAGTAAAGTGTAATGTGGGAAGCACTAGTGCAGAGTAAAGAATTTAAGAACGAGGTCATACTTTTAGGCAGGTCCTAA